AAGTACAGTATCACCTTAGAAAGAAAGGAGACAGCTGTTCTTCAGATTTGTGGACTGGAATATGAACTTACTCCTCTTATGTTACAATAGAAAAAAAGGCTACAAGAAACTGGGATGGGAGAGAAATTCAAATCAGCTGGTTTTCAGAGCTGAGCCTATGTAATTTCCACTTTCTGATATAATACACAAAATGAAACACAACCATCCTTCAAATTTCACATTTCTCCAAATTTTTCAAAGCAACACAAAATGGCATATACTAGGATAAAGTGTGTTCGAAATGCACATATCAGTGAAAATAACATACAAAAATGCATTCTCTTATAGGAAATTGCTTTAAAAAATGTTTATATTATGAGAAATTCACATTAAAATGCTGGTGAATTTTAATGAAGATTTAAAAAAACAAAATCACAAAACTTGTTTTCTTCGGCTCCAGAAGATAGGACCTGAACCAATGGCTTCAAGTTACAATAAAGGAGAGTCCAACTTTGCATCTGGAAGAACTTTCTGACAGTAAGAGCTGTTTGACAGTGGGATGGACTCCCTTGGGAGATGGTGGACTTTCCTTCATTGGAGATTTTTAAACAGAGGTTGGGTGGCCATCTGACATGGATGCTTTAGTTGAGATTCCTGCATTGCAGGAGTTTGGACTAGATGACCCTCAGTGTCCTTTCTAACTCTGCAATTCTATGATTACATGTTGTGGAAATGTGGAGAACTGAATTTAAGATTGGAAAAATGAAATTAACAGATTCACTCATCTCTAGCACATCAGCCATTTTATGACCACATACACAGTAGAACTCCTGCCAACCTAGCAGTTCGAAAGCACGTCAAAGTGCAAGTAGATAAATAGGTACCGCTCCGGCGGGAAGGTAAACGGCGTTTCCTTGCGCTGCTCTGGTTCGCCAGAAGCGGCTTAGTCATGCTGGCCACATGACCCAGAAGCTGTACGCCGGCTCCCTTGGCCAATAAAGCAAGATGAGCGCCACAACCCCAGAGTCAGTCACGACTGGACCTAATGGCCAGGGGTCCCTTTACCCTTTACCTTTTACACAGTAGAAATCCTTAGCATATACTGCTTCCGTTAGTTTAACAGAACTGACTGCGAGTTCAGGAACTGGGAAATCCACCCACTTAATGTTCAAGGGGTTTTCAGAACTCCCTAAGCCGCTGTCACCATCAGAAGCACATTACTGGGATAATCTTCCAAACATGAAGCGTTCTGATGTGGACCACAGCAGTTCTGAGTTGGGGGGCTTACCCATGTGAAACATTTACTAGTGACTATAGGAGATTTGCTGCAAGCAGAGATGAAACGAAGCAAAATGTCCAGTGGTTGTTGTAGGAAGCACTGGGGAAGAGGAAAGGGTTTGGCTTTGTTGTGGGGAGGCCAATACAGGCAGCTGGTGCAGCTAAATGATGAAGGGCTCTAGGGAACACAGAGATACCGGAAGAGTTGAGACAGGCAGCTGAGGGATGTGATCAGGGGGAAAAGAAAGATGCTGAGAGAGCTGGGTTGGAAAAGCTAATAAACCCTGCCTGTCAGGGGAACTATATGACAGGCAGCCAGCCGGTGGGGGGGGGGGCTCTCTTGAATCCACAGACCCATAACTGGGTTATATAGAAATGTAATCCACTTAAGCTTTAAAGCTGTCCTGCCTGGTTCCCTTCAGCAGTGCCCTCACACTGCATCCAGTCCAACTCCAGGATTTCCCTAAAGCATCACGGGGTGTCTTCTCAGTGGCCCAATTTGATTAGATATGAGATGGAGTTCTTCCAAAGAATTTTGGGGAACACAAGTGCACATTAAGGAACTTATAAATACCCCCACACTGATATAGGCACAATCTACAGAACAGGAAGTTGACAATGCAAAGTATTCAAGCATCACAATCTAATACAGCATTTCTCCCTCTGCCCCTCCAACATAAATGCAATACAGGCAACTCCCAGTTTACACATTCCAAGGCACCATGTGTTTTAGTGAAATCACATATATTTGAAATACCATTGTTAAAGTCTGCAACGACCCTGTTCCACCCCTCACCTTGTCCCTTTTTGTGATGTTTTAGTGACGTTTTCGGGTCACTACCAAGTTTGGTATGATGCTCAAGTATCAGATGTGCCTAAAATGGTCACTGCCTGTATGGTTTGCAGTAAGGAACTCTCTCCCAGTTCACATCACCCTGGGTTGGAAAAGTGTCAGTAGCCCATCTCCACAGGTGTTCTTGGATAGAAAGGAACATGAAGCTTCCTCTGGTTACATCTAATTAGTGAATTTTGTTCCCTCTGTCCACTCCCTCCTTTGATCCCACAGGGATAAACATTTGGGCATGTTAAGTTTGTCATCCAGTCTTCATTTACTGAACACCATGGATGAGACTTCTTCAAGAGTATCTAATCTAGAGATATTCTCTAAATAAACGCTTTCTTTTCTTTCTTTCTTTCTTTCTTTCTTTCTTTCTTTCTTTCTTTCTTTCTTTCCTTCTTTCTCTCTTTCTCTCTTTCTCTCTTTCTCTCTTTCTCTCTTTCTCTCTTTCCTTCTTTCTGATTTCTCCTTTGTCCCTTATCTCTAATCTTAACAATGCTTCTTAATTTGGAATGTGGGGTTTGACTGTAGTGACCTGCTGTTCCTTTTGGTATCACCTCTGACAGCCATATAGCCTTGGGATTTTATAGAAATCCAAGTTACCCCTAAAGCAAACAAACATGTGTCTCTACCCTAGTCTGTGCTCACATCATCATAAATTCATAAATATGGCTATGCTCATATTTAAAATTATTCTAGAAATCAAAAGCTGCTCCTGTCCAAACACAAAGACTGCAGAGCAGCTATTAATTTTGGGGTGGGGGGAGCCAAGAGGGTCTTGATGAGCTGCCCTTCAACCAAAATTCTCAGCATGGTATACAAGGAATGCAACAAAATAGCACATAAAATCAATATTGAAATCATAAAACGATCTAACGCACAATTCAGTTACAAAACAGCAGCAATACAGAAGCTGACACAGATAGAAACTGGCCAAACATGTCTTGAGTCCCCAAAGACCATATAAAACAGATATGTCTTTAACAGATGTCAGAAAGGCATCAACAACGGGGACAAGTGTATCTCTGACAGGAGGGAGTTCCATAACCAGAGTGGCATAGCCAAGAAGGTCCCGCTATTCTCTGCTGTCAGATTTGCTGAGAGAATGATAATGAGCATTAAGAAAAAAGGGGGAGGGAATCACAGAAAAAATGATATAATATAATACAATAAACGTATAATGCATATATGCTTGCATGTTGATGCTAGAAGCCTGAAAATCAAGATGAAAAAACTATAATGTCTGGTACTAAAAGAAGAGTGGCAAATCAACAGGATATTGATAAAACCAATGGCAATGGCAGAGTAAGTTACACTTGTTGCAGCAAGGGACAGGCAAATCTGTCAGTTTTGGTTTTTCTCAGTTTCTCATTTTTCCTGACTTCAGTTCAGTTCTTCACATTTCCACATCAGTATGGGAATTATTTTTGTTAGCCCTCATGAAAATTCACCAACATTTTAATGCAAATTTCCCCTAATATATACATGTTTGTCTGCGGTTTTCCTTAATATACATTTTTTCCAAAGCAATTTTCCCTTATATAATGCATTTTTGTATGTTAATTTCACTAATATAAGCATTTTTATGCACAGGGGTTCACATTGATTTGGGGGCTTAATTCCCATTAGAGCAAGACGAAATAAAGCATGTTTTGAATTCAGTCCCCTGAGCCCATTTATTATCATTGCCTCTTGCTGATTCAGCAGCAGATTGGTATGTTGTGCAATGCTATCTGTGTCATTGCCCCTACGCCCCACGTTAGGTACAGTTTTCTTTCATTGCCTTTTAATGGAAAACAGTTTATCATGTGTAATAATTTAAAGGGATCTCTCGCTCATGCTCAGCTCTGTGCGAGACAATGAATTAGGGGGAGTATCTGTTTCAGTCTCTCCTCTTTCACATTGTTGTCAAAAGACAATCCATCTCTGGATTTTGACACAAGGCCCTTTGTTTGGTAAGAGTTTGTTCTGTGTAGAATGGAAGGAGTATTGCACATGATGATTATGGTTATGATGCCGCTGCTGGTTGGGAAACACTGCTACAAAGGAAGGGGTTAATAGATCTCTCTGTTCATGGCTCAAGCCAAGAGCTACACACTGGTGAGAACAAAACTACCTCAACACAAACCCAGTCCAGGGGTGGAGGAAAGCGGGTGCGGTGGGGGCGGGTAGCCCCAGGTGTCACCACTGAGAAGGGTGACAAAATGCTGGGTGGAACTCAACGCGGGGCCTGCAGCATGCCCAAGTCACATGTCTCTCCTGGGAGTGATGTGGTGGGTGGGCAACCGCAGTGTGCTGGCCCCATGGGTTACCCGAGAGGCGAGGTCCAAGTCCAGTACGTGGTCAAAGGCGCAACATGGAGGCAGTCTGTAGTAGCTGAAGCTGACTGCAGGGCAGGGAGTCGGGTGAAGTCAGGAACAGACATGCAAGCAGGGAGCCAGGGTGGGTCAGGAGCTCAGGCAGGAACTAGCAACCAACAATGTTGCTCCCGCAACTTGGGGCTGGGGCTGACCAGCTTTTATCTGCCTCGAGGCATAGGGCGGCCCCAATCCTCTGGTGACTCGCCACAGCAAAGGTTATTCAGTTCTCTTGGCAAGCACTTACCAGCCTATGATCCATCCCACTTAGGCTATGTCTGTACTGCAGCATGCAATTTCCCCCCCTGAAAGGGGATTATTTTGGACATGAGTTATAGTAGTTACATTCCTCTCCCTCTCTCTATTAAAAAACAACAACAGTGTTTTGTGGTAAATATGTATGTGTGAGATTAGCTGTCATCTGCATTTCCCTTTATTCTGCTGCTAAAGAATGACTCACATCTACTCTACCCTTGGCATTACCATTTCACATCAGAACATATAACCATAATTATATCCGCTACTTTAACTTGTTTCTTTTCACACAGGAATCAAATGCGTGAAATGCATAACATGGTGAGTAATGCACAATACTTACTTAGTGCATAAATGTGAACCTATTCACACAACGCTCTGAGCCCATGACAGCCATGATTTCTCTTTTTCCATCAGCCTGTTTTGATTTCCAACCAGTCTTCCAGAAGGTGAGTCAATGTATGTTGCTGTCAACAGTACATGCTGAAATCAGTACAGATAATCTTTTGACACCTATTCACAACATAAACATTCGTTAGTTACCTAGTTTTGGGAAATGTGAGTTGGGCTTTTCCAATCACATCCATTGCTCCACCAACTTTTGCCACTAGCTCCAACCACTGCTGACACTTGGTCTCTGAAAGGTTGTCTATGAAGAAACATGGCCCTTTGGCTGAAAAAGATTCCCCATTCCTGGTAGAAACCAACCTAAATGTTGAAATGAGATTTGTCTTTCGATGCAGAAACTTTGTGTGATTCAGCCATTCCTATATCATAGGCCCGTAACACTTAGAAAAACTTGTGAGACTTTTAGAGATCCTGAAATTGCTTCCACTAGCTGAAGGAATGGAACCAACTTTTGGCAATTCTCCTCTCCCTGCAGCCCCTGAAAATGTGTCCCCAGAAAATTGGTGGGGGAAGCCTTTGGAAACATGGGGAAGAGGGGTAATTGGCCAAAAAGAAAAAATCCTCCTTCCACCAGCAGGATCCTTTCCTGGATCTAAAGCACATTTAGGATTCAAAGCAATGGATTTTTCCCTGTATTAGTTGCCTATGGCACAGATGTAAGTGTCCCACTAAATCCATCACTTGTAAGAGTTCAGACTGGGCTTCTAAGGGAGTCTTTAGGATTATGACAGAGAATAGCACAAGTGTTTCCCCCTCTCTGGTGTTTTCCCCCCACTGTTTGGTTCAGTCATCCATTATTCCAGGTGTCAATGGAAATCCTAATAAAAGGGTTATTGTATGTACCCCAGCAGCCCTTCAATTTACTAATCCCTCACTGAGCCTTTGAATTTATGTTCTGTCTTCTTATCTGCCTCTCCTAGATGCCCATCTTTCCATGCCTATAGATCTAATCTATTGCTACCTGCCTCCTTGGTTTTCTGTTCCTTGTAATGTCACTTTGATTCATCCATTTTTACTTTAGCTGTCACTGTCATTGATCAGCCTGGAAGTTCTGCATCTCCATTAAAACCCCTCGATAACAGCTTCAACAAGGGAAAGGCTTTACCTCTGCACTGTAAAATGCTTGGCACTCCATAAAACAGTTGTCATATTTGCATATCACACATAGAGAAACTAAGGTGCACAAAAGGGGTGTTTGTGGAAAATCAGTTGCAGGCTCTACACTGTCTATTCTAGTTACTACTTTGTTTGTTACACCACACAAGAAAGAAACAATTCAAACACACACACCCCTTGGGGATATGTAGTCAATCTATACTAATTTCCTTTGTCGGCCAATGAAAGACAGAATGGAAAGTATTCACTGTGTTTGTGTGTCCAAATTTACAGCAACATGACATTTGATAAATGTAGTCCACATTTTGAACCAAATACAATATATGCAATGTTTGCTTACTAACCTTTTGCTCAATAGCAACAATATGGTATGGAAAGTCACATACAGCAATGTTCTCAAAGTCTGGACCTGGCAACCTTCCCTGGCAGTAAGCCCTTTTGCTACCTTATTATCATAACTAAATATTACTGGTATTTAAAACTGTGACAGTAAAACAGCCATAATATTGCATTCTGTTTTCCTAATAAGTGTGGTTTTGGTATTAAATGTGTTATTCATTCCCTTGTACAGCAGACCCCAAATGTTTTCCAAGCTTTCGTGTCTCACTTATGATTTTAAATTTTTAATAAAATGTGATTGATTAATGTTTGAATGCAAACACAAAAGCCTCTATCGACCTACACTTACACCAATCAATGTTTCCAAGAAACCAAAAGTGAGGATGGATTGCTTCCAGCCAACAAACGTTTGCATTCTGACTTCTTCAGCTTAAGGCCTTCAAGTGATGGATCTGTACAACTTGGTGCAGGTTTAAGTATGATCAGGACATTTGTAGGCAAATCTACCTAATTGTCGCTTTCCAAAACAATATGCAGACCCGAAACACAGACATCCTTCGAAATCTGCTGTTCTCTGAATTTTGCAATGCGGTTCTCCAGCCAAGTAATGTGTACAAAACACATACACTAGGGTAAAGTGTGCATTAAAATGCATATATGAATGAAAGTAGCATACAGATATGCATTATATAAGGGGAAATGTGTATATTAGGCAAAATTGCATACAAGGATGTGCCTATTAGGAGAAATTCACACTAAAATCCTGCTGAATTTAACGAGGACTCTTTTAAACATTGCAAACTGACATGGAAACTAAGAGAACTAAACTTACAATTGGAAAAAAAGAGAAATTGGAACAGAAAAGGACACGTCCACCCATCTGTGTGCTCTACACAGCTCTCTGGCTATGCTCCTAAAGTAGATGCCTGCAGCAAGTCTTAGTTCCAGGAATTCGAAGGAGGCCATACCTGAAGGCAGAGTTGTACTTATTCTTTCTTTATTATTATTAAATTTATATGCTGCCCTATACCTGTAGATCTCAGGGTGGTTCGATAAATGGGCAATGCACAGCTATTTGTGCGCTAGGAGAAGTTATAACCCACAAACTATAGGCAGAGATGGGGAACCTCCAGAAATTTATGGACTCCAAGCCCATTCCATTCCACTCTATTGTTCAGGAATGATGTCATTTGTAGCCCAACACCATCTGGAGAGCCACAGGCTTTCCATACCTGGACTATAGGGACGTCTGGTCATAAAGGGGATGAGAAAAAACTATTCATGCTTGAAGGTCCAAGGTTGAATTTTTGGCATCTTCAACTAAGGAGATCAGTGACAGGGAATACAGTGGTACCTCGGGTTACAGACGCTTCAGGTTACAGACTCTGCTAACCCAGAAATAGTACCTCAGGTTAAGAACTTTGCTTCAGGATGAGAACAGAAATTGAGCGGCAGTTGTGCGGCGGCAGCGGGAGGCCCCATTAGCTAAAGTGGTACCTGAAGTTAAGAACAGTTTCAGATTAAGAACGGACCTCTGGAACGAATTAAGTTCTTAATCCAAGGTACCACTGTACCTCTGCCTGCTGCCAGTCAGAATGAAGAACAGTGGGCTAGTTGGACAGGGCCTGACTTTCTTTGCAGCACTTTTCTAATTCACTGTGCATGAATACTGTGCCATTGTGTTTGTATCCTATATCATATTTGCTTTTGTACAGCACTGATATTTTAATTACAAAAAAGTATTACAAAAAAATCCCAGCCTTCCAAACACTAAGAAAACACACATACACACACACACACACACACACATATATTACAATATAATATATTGTATGTAAATATATATATAACACAATATAATGAGCAAGACATCTCCAACAACAGCACTTTTCAATTCAGTGGATATTTCTGATAGAAACAAGAATGCTGTAGTCTGTTAAAGGAAACACCACAATACAAAATGGAGCAGAACTAATATATTTACTGTACCATCCCGCTTTATTATTCCACAGAGATATATGACTTTAATGGGTTTATTTATGGTACTTGACAAGATAAATATTCCTTTGTCCTTACTATTCAAATAAACTGGTGCAGAGTGAAATTCAGAGCTCTTCATCAAGCATTTGCCAAACGGTCTTATCAGTAGCTTTATAACTTAAAAGCCAGATGGAGATATTTCACTATATAGTTCTGCTCATATCAGAAAGCTCTCATTGACACATTACTTTGTATATTTCTGATGTGCACTTCAGAACAATCAAAGGGAGAGAGCTATCCCAGATTATCCACCTCAAATCAGTCGAACCCTAGCCATATCAGAGGAGGATTTAGAGAGTTCAGTGTTACAATTTAAAAATGTATAATAATCCCATCTACACACATCTAACAAATCAATTCCAGTGTAGTCTGGAAATCTGCAAGGTGAATCAGTGCATTGAATGGGAAATACAAAACGTAGTCATTTTTTGAAAACCATTTTTTATCATTCAAAAAAAGAAAAAAGAAAGGCAATATCAAATTATAGACTGTCACTTCTCAACATGAGAAGGTGGGCACACAACACAGCCACAAAATATGCATGGTATCTGCAGTTCTGTCCCTTCCCATAAATGGATCTCCTGTCTGGTTCTCCATACATGTCAATGAAGTGAATATCCCTGATGACTTTTTATGGAGAAAGAGGAAAACACATGAAATCCTGAATCAAATATGTAGGGAAAACCCCTTAGAACCTATTTTCCCCCCAGGGTCCAGATCCAGTAGGTTGGTGTGCCTTGTCATTATGTCTATATGTGCTGCATTTATTTATGTGTTTTATATTCTGCCTTTTAGGGAGAAATCTACAGTTACCATCAACAACAGAAGCAGAATGGGTGGTTGACATATTTCAAGAGGTAAAAATCCGGACACAAAATGTTGTTGAGCTTTTTTTGGACAATCACCTGATAGATCTTCTGCTGCCACTGAGCCAGAACCCCCCATACCAGAGCGGTTCGAATCCCCACAACAGGGTGAGCTCCCGTTGCTTGGTCCCTGCTCCTGCCCACCTAGCAGTTCGAAAGCACATCAAAGTGCAAGTAGATAAATAGGTACCGCTCTGGCGGGAAGGTAAACAGCATTTCCGTGCACTGCTCTGGTTCGCCAGAAGCAGCTTGGTCATGCTGGCCACATGACCCGGAAGCTGTACGCTGGCTCCCTTGGCCAATAAAGCGAGGGACCCCAGAGTCGACCACAACTGGACCTAATGGTCAGGGCTCCCTTTACCTTTACCTTGAACTTGCTTAATCAGTCAAAGCATTTCTACACTGCTGGATATTTCTAAGAAGCGTACACTAGGTACAATATAAAAACAATACCCATGAAAACAATATAAAACCATGTAAAATGAAATAAAGCAACCAAATTCAGGGGCTTCATAAACATCAATCAGGGATCAAACATATTCATTATTTATGGTCTTTCTGCAAGTCCTCTCTAGGCCCGTTAGGTTGGTGCTTGTGTTGGATGCTGCACTTTCTCGCACTGTCTCTTGGGAATTATAATTCCTAGCACAAGCCATGGTTGAGAGTCCCATTGGAATTTACCATGCCAAAACAAACGTACCCCAGAAAGAAAACAGGATTTTAAATTTGAAATGGAGGACAGCAACCAAATAAAACATTTGCAAGAATGAGGGATGTGGAAACTGATTGCCTAGAAGTTGGACTACAACTTTCATCATGCTGGCTGGGGCTGATGGGAGTTGGAGTCCAACAACATCTGGAGAGTCACTGACTCCTCAATCCTGAAAACCATGAATTAATAGGATGGTGCAAATAGAGAAAATACTGTTGCACGACACTGCAGTTTCCAAGCGGTGCAATATTCCAGGGGTTCCAGTGCTTACCTAGGGTTTGGCTTCCTCAGAACAAGGACAGCAGAGACTGTGGTGTTTTTATGATATATGGTTTATTTACATATATATCTATACCCTGAGCCTACGATGAAGGGGTTCACAGCATTAATACCCCAAGAGGGTCTTGCTTCTCCCATAGGCATAGCCTTGAATTCCAGCAGAAATCAGACATGGCTCTGCCGCTTAGCTGCCCAGCCTACTTCCTGTTTCTAGCTTATACACCTCAACTCTATCTTTTGTCTTTCTAACTGATAGTTGAGGGAGGGGACTCTTAATGTCCCATACTCAGGGAGCCATTACCAAGAAACATGTCTCCCCTATTCTAGCAATTGGATTCTTGTTGGATCCAGAAATTAGAAGAGACGCAAGCATATAGCCTACCCCTTCCCCAAACTCACAACAATACATTCACCAAACCAAAGGTTGCTTCATTAGGTGGTCTGGTGGCTGCATAGTTCACTACATCGCAACCAACTGAACACAACACAACCAAATTCTGGACCATCTAATCTCTCACAATGCCAATATATATACTTATATATGGTATACTTACTTTCCCCCTGCCCACTTTGACTTCCCAGCTTCATATTTGTCTAAATTTGTCTAAATTAACCATCCCAAAATACAGACGCGCCTTTACATTGGCTAGATGGGATGTTCTTCCCTCTGCCGTACTCGAAGGTCGTTACCAAAAGACTCCATCTGAAAAACGACTCTGCCCATGTAGAGATGGTAACACGGAAACAGTGTCCCATGTCCTCCTATCCTGCCCCCTTTATAAAGACCTAAGGAATGAGATTATTACTCCACTCATTCTCCCCAACCCCGGCCGTCCACAAGACATTATACTGTTCTTTCTCTTATCTGATACGGACAGTCAGACAACAGAGAAGGTCGCAAGGTACATCGAGAGAGCTGTGAAATTGAGGGCCACCATCTGAGTGACAGACTTGTTCATCTGACGGACCTCCTTTTGTTTGTTTTTATCCCCTTTTTATGTTTATTTTATTTTATTTTTAATTCTTGTATAGCTGTGGCCTGTTGGCTTTGCTAATAAAGTTCTGATTCTGATTCTATCTATATATATTGCAGGGGGGTGCAGCATCCGGAGGTGCCACCATGGTTTGGCTACTGGATGGTGTCTGTAATTTATCTGTGGAGAGGGTCTGGGTTTGGGTCTGGTGTGGTTGATTGGTGATGGCGTTCTGTGTGCCTCTGGATCTGGTGTCGGTTTTTGTGCCCATGTAGACAAATCATGTAGACAAACCATGTAGACAAACCATGTAGATGTGTACAAGAGAATAATCATGGAAGCCATCGAGATAGAGAAACACCCTCACAACATGAACAAGCGTGACGACACATCCCGCCTGCCAGACATCTGGAAATTAGCCCTCCCCACAAAAACCGACACCAGATCCAGAGGCACACAGAACGCCATCACCAATCAACCACACCAGACCCAAACCCAGACCCTCTCCACAGATAAATTACAGACACCATCCAGTAGCCAAACCATGGTGGCACCTCCGGATGCTGCACCCCCCTGCAATCCCTACACAGATCTGGCTGGCACAGGACACAAAACCACAGCTCGCCCCTATACACGAAGCCAAGCCAGAGCACAACTAAGTGCAGTACAGCCATCTTCTCAGAAAAACTCTTCACAAAGTTCAAGAGGTCAAGACACGAAGGCTTCAGCAACTAATCCACACCTAATGACCCACCTAAGTGGTACTCAGGATATCACTCAAGAAATCACTCAAGATATCCCTCAAGTAATTAAGGAACAAAAGAAGAAAAGGCACACTAGCCTGGGAACTTCCTCTCTGCCCAGAACATTGGAGGCTATACACCACACCCCCTCAACAGTATTTATAGGAACTCAAACACTGAGATCCTGCTCTGTTCCAGTAACAAGAAGCCGAAAGCACCAGCCTGAAGATGACGAGTGAGACCTCGTCGAAACGTCGCCTAGACACCCCAACTTTTACACGGGAAGATACCCGAGGACACCAAAACCTGCATATATATATATATATATATATATATATATATATATATATATATATGAATGACTTGGAAATGTGATGCTGACACAAAACCCTACACTAACATTATGCAAAAAAAACAACAACCAAAGAACATTACCCACTACCCACAATCTCTCTCCCTCTCTTCCCCCTCACTTTTTCCCCAACCGCAAGATGTATTTCATACCAAATTCAAACAAACTGTGAAAAAGACTATGAATCGAAAAAGGAGACACTATATGTACTTTCCTTTTTTATTTGTTCTTTTTAATACTCTAATAAAACTTTAATAAAAACTAATTTTAAAAAAAATCAGTAAAATATTTGGTGAGAGTAATAGAGTTAGCACTGAAGAATGTCTGCACATGCACCAAAGAAGCTGTTCACCAAAATCTTATTTTGATGAGAGTTTCATAGAGAGTAATTAGCTAACATCAAAGTACACTTGTGAATGTTATTGCAGTGCAGACCAGAATGCTGACTTTGCATGAGCAGAATTTAATTTTACATTCTGAGCCAGGGAAGAACCTCGGGGAGAAATGACGCTCAATTTAAAATACATCCAACAGTTACAAGCTGGATGATTTCTTATCCCAAAACAGGTCATAATTAACTTTAGTGATGTCTCTAATCAAAAGAGGCTGGAGAAATGCTCTCAGGACCATCTTTACAAAGAGGAAAAGTCTTCCATGCTGTGCCACGCCATACTTCTAATTTGCAGGTCAGGTTGGAATACCCTGTCATGCCATCAGAAGTAATGCATTGCCAAAAGCAAATGGCTGATACTAGGCAATTGGGATTTTATTTACTGTAGTGCCCCTAATGGCTCCTAAAAGATTTTCTTAATTTTTAATAAGTTACATTTTATTTCAGAGTAAGAGAATGAGTGAGGCTTCCTGAACTTTAATAAACACTTTTGGATTGAAGCTTTAAATTACAGAGTACACTACTGGCTTTAAACTGAAGTAGAATCATCCATTATTTATAACCACTTATAAATATTAAGTAATCCACAGAGTCATTATCTAATACTTGTTCTTCATTGCACAAAATCTATTTGCTGCATACATGCCTGCATATACACACATACACACGTTTCTGTACAGGCTGTAAGCTTGCTTGTGCCAAGTTATTGCCAACACAAAGGTTCTTGTTTTATCTATGTGGCCTTAGGCTTCTTTCTGCTGCACTAGAAGCCTACCTTGATCCCAGTTTATTCCTTCTTCTTGAGAGGTAGTAATGCTTACAGATGCAACTTGAGATGATTTCTTTAGCAATAGACCAAACACAGACTAAAAGATGCGGGTTCATAACTTGTCCTAATTTTTTACAATATGAATTTACAACTGTCACATTTAATATAAAGGCTCCCAAAGGTAACAAAAATACATAAATCAAAACTGGCATGATATAGATAGTGAAGATTCTCAGGTTTAAATTTCTAAGTTTTAAAAGATCTAAATGTCAGGGTTCTAACAGTGGAATATTGATTTTAGGAACTTTCCCCATTTATGTTAAAAAAAATCCCAAAGATTTCTTCATGGATTTTATGGTATTCAAACACTTTTCCCCCCTGCTGAGCCTGTCAAGTAGGCACCATTCTGGCCTGTAAGATATTAGGACTCTCCTGCTTATCCTTAAAAATTATGCTTCCCACTCACAAACTGCACTTGTTGCACCTGCAGGCTGAAGGCAAAGTGAAGAATTCAAAATTCCCCTCCACTATCTCCCTCTGTAATGTCAGTAGAAATCAGTGTTCTATGAATGAATAAATGGATGGAAGCAGTTCCAGGAAACACCCCCAGAGAATTGAAGCCTAGAGCAAGATAAATTTTGAAATCAATTGAACTGATGTTTACAGGACCGTCTTTACCTGGGGGATGCAAGGGGTGCGGGGCAGCCGGGCACCGAATTCAGGGGGGCAGCAGGCACCCACCACTGAAGCTGCTGAAGCTCTTAACTATCTACCTGTTGTTTTTGTTGTTTAGTCGTTTAGTCGTGTCCGACTCTTCGTGACCCCATGGACCAGAGCACGCCAGGCACTCCTGTCTTCCACTGCCT